TATGCTTAGTCGCTAAAATTAAGCTTGGAAACCCTGAATAAGCAATAGCTTAAAATTATCGGCCCTGGACATATTGTTTAAGTGAAAAACTTGTTCATATAATTCGAGCGTCTCCACTGTCTGACGAGGGACGGCCTCTTTAGAATCAAGTTTTTTATTAAGAAAAGTAATTTAACAAATTTTTTTAAGACAAACTTAACTGGCTAGTAAAATAATAAAAGTCGATTCTCGCACTACGTGTGTTGTTATTACTTTACATTTAAGTTATTACGTTCTAAATATGAAACGAATCGGACCATAAATATGGGTTTTTCAAATATCTCGACTCTTGCGCCACCCAGTAGATTAATTCGCCTTACATATCGCATTGCCATCGGGTTCTGAGCTAAGTTTGAAGATTCAAGTATCCAGCTCATCGAGAAGTTGGTTAAAAATTTATTGTAAGATTTGATTACACACAGATGAAACTTAATAAAACCTTGTAAAAAACGAAAAAATACCAAGAAATTTTCTCTGGGATTAACCTGTGCTTTACGTAAAAACTTTTATTGAATTTAGTTACAAAATAAGCACGAAAGATCTTGTTTTTGACTACTTTTCATAGACAAAACCGTTTTTATACTGCCATAAGAAAATTTTTCTGAAATCGCCAAGGGAAAATCTCTATGATTTTTTAGTAGCCTTTTTTGGATTCACTAAAGAAAAATATTTGGGCCAAGTAAGCTCAACATCCAGAAAACGTTGTTTATTGAATTAGGTAACGTTATCAAAATTAAAGCATTTGTTATGGTTGTTTAGGCATCTAGACTTAACCAAACGTCAAAAGGGTCAACATAGGGCTGTGCATGCACATACAGATATGCACATTCATACGAATATGCTCAAATAAAGGACTGTATTATAGTTCCCGCAAATTAATACAATACTGTTCGCTGTTTGAGATTTCGGCTAAATTTATCAAAACAAGATGGTCTTTTCCAGATTGAACATTATGAAGCACAGATACCATCCATCATCTTATACCCAAGGTAGCCAAATACCTATTAATAAAAGCAAGGCAAGCCGATTGGTAATTAAACTTTTGCATTTTTCTCTTCCTTTCTTTTATCAAAGCATTGATGCGGGCGTCAAACGATTCTAATGGTTTTTAAAAAGAATTTTCTTTTTAATTTCGGAAGTCTGTCTTCTTGAAGAAAAACTTCTAAATGTTGTTTTATTTTATTAGGTAGTTGCGGCTCNCAGCATGAAGAAAAACTTCTAAATGTTGTTTTATTTTATTAGGTAGTTGCGGCTCTGTGTGGCAGAACTCAGCTCTAACCACTCGTTTACAACTGCCGTATTTAACAAACTTCTTCAGCTTGTCTCAGCCTTTATTGAGGAAAGAAAGAAGCATATGTAAGCACACATTTGTGTCATATCCTTAAAATAAATCGACGCGCAAGTTTTGATTTTTTTTGAAATTTGAGCCATTATAAGCCATTGTTAACATTTGGCACAGAGCAGTAATGCCACAGGGATGAAGATCCCCTTTTGATTGCAACAATTGTGAAACAGTTGTAATAAACATGAATAGGTTGTTGTTTATTCATTGCACGTCACACGTCGGACGGTGATATTGACACACTGTCACAAATTATTGACGTGATTTCTGAGAAATATGGTTACATAAAAGAAAAACAATCTCATTTCATTGATTGGCGGGGCGATATGTACATATGTATATATGAATTATATATGAATAAGTGCTTATGATACGTACGGGTATTTGTATGTAAACAACATGCATACTAGGCTTAGGGAGCATTTGAACTAAAGAGCGAAAGAGAAAGCGTCCTTAAGTTATTTGTTTTTTGTAATTTTTTGGCCTTTTTAACAATTATATTTAACAATTTTTATTCAGATCGAGGCATTTTTTTAGAGAAAATTTATTGTGGAAAAGCAACAATAATTTGAAAAAATGGTAGAAGTGATAGCTATTTCGGAAATCACCACATTTCCTCATCAGACTTCTTTCAGTAGGATTCGAACCGACGATCCCACTGACTCAGCCAGTTGCCTATGCACCGTGCTAAGACGCCTTGTAAATTATCGTTTGCTTATTTCCACTATTTTCATTTTTGTTATGCCAACACAATCAAGCGCAGCTATTCCGCTGCAATTCACTTGATCATGTGGTTGTTGGTTTTGTTGGTTTGTGCTAATAATTCTATTTTTAGAATGCTTAACTTTTAGGTGTGCTCGTCCTTAAGTTATTTGTTTTTTGTTATTTTTTTGGCCTTTTAACAATTATATTCAACAATTTTATAATGAGCTCGAGGCCATTTTTTAAATGAAAATTTATTGTGGAAAAGCAACAATAATTTGAAAAAATGGTAGAAGTGATAGCTATTTCGGAAATCACCACATTTCCTCATCAGACTTCTTTCAGTAGGATTCGAACCGACGATCCCACTGACTCAGCCAGTTGCCTATGCACCGTGCTTTTAGTTAATTTAATTTACAATGTCTTACATCGTTGTGTTGTGTGTTAAAAAGTAAGTATTTGAGTTGAGTTTTTGGGATTTGCTGTTTAACAAAAGACTACCTTTCATATGCCAAAGCGAAGTCCAAATTTACTCGCATTTCGGAGGAAAAATTGAAAAAAAAACAAAATTAAATGCAGGCACTGCCGAATTTCCATAAACATCCTTTCGTGATTTTAAAGAAAGACAACTGTAAGTAAGGTGAGCTATACTTCAATAAGGTGAACGAACAAAGAATCGGAAGAGCTAGTTAATTGAGCCGCACGAACTAGAAGTGAACTTATCTTTAAACTGAACTAAAAAATCCAACTCTAATGTATACATATGTATATGCATTTACATATCGTCGTCTCAGAAAACGGATGTCGAATGTTACAAAACACGGTTTTGAGAAAATTGACTTTGAAGTTTAAGGTCGAATTAATCCGAAACTGTACGGTAGATTTTTGTAACTTTTGAAGGAGACGTAGTTGGTGTTATTAGTTTTGATTTCCCATATTTTTACATTTAATATCTCTTAACGTTAATGAGAAAATTTACTTTTCATTCCGTATACATTTGTCGTAAGTAGCGTTTACTCACCACTTTGTTTTGTCCACAGAACATACGACAATAGTAAAGTATCTATTTCAACGACGATGGTATAATTTGATGAAAAAAACAGACATATTTATTAAATAATGATTACTTATTAGAAAAAAACATAACAAAAACATAATCATGTAT